GAGTTATCTATGATTCAACTTTGAGTTTAAGAGATGAAAATAAGATAAAAAGTAACGATCATATTTATTCTGTTTTTAAGGTATGTTTACATACATTGTTTATCTTTCATTTTTATCTTTTCTCCGATTGCGCTGTCAGCGTCGCAGATCATCCTTTGTCGAAATAGAGTAAAATGTAATTTGAGATGATCCTAAATCAATCATCAGCAACACAGATGACCCTTACAGTGGTTCCACGGCTCAAAGATACGTCAACTCGGCTCAAAGCGACGACGCGAATACTGTCCCTTCTTTCCTTTGAATACAAACTTTGATACACACTGTCTGCCCCAAGTCCTGTTGCGTTCGCTGACTCGAATCTATATTTGCTTCTGTTTTCCTGCGTAACAAAGCTTTTAATTCTTCTCTTTCTTGATTATTGAATTGTAGCCATGAAATCTTGTATTGTGTCCACCCTAAGCTATTTTTCTTGTTAATAGTTGATTCTAGAATTCGCGTCTTGTACAAACTGAGAAAAAATCCCGAAGGCCATGCTCAATTATAATTAGATCACGCATGAAATAAAATATCTAGTTTCCTTATATGTCGTTTGTTTTAGGGCTTTCTTCTTTCATATTCGGCAAAATCTATCGTCCATAACTTTAAAGTACGAAAGCCTAGAAAAAAAAAAAAGATTACGTTTCTATTTCTTTTTCTCGCCAAATAAAAAGCTTATTTATACCAGAAAATATTACGAATTTGGTGGGTGCTTATTATATATTTTCAGTCCGTAGATTTGACTTTGACGACTCTTTTTTTAATTATTTCACCACAAGTGAGGAAAATGCATATATATATATATATACATATATATATATATATATATATATATATATATATATATATATATATATATATATATATATGCAAATATGCAGAAAATAACGACTTGTAGGCGCGCGATAAAATATCCCTCACAGGGAACCAACTAAAGGGTGACCACAAACATTAGCCTTGAAATAGATACCCTACCCAACCTTAGCAAAACCTCTCAGAAGAGGATGAATCTATTGATAAGAATTAACTCTCTGTCCACTTAACGAAGAAAAATAGTCTAGTCACTCCCACAATAACGAATTCTGTAACGGACCATGCCTAAAAACACACGTAAACCGAGAGATAGCTTATTCCTAAAATTTTGTTTGAAGATGAAACGGGACTAAACACCTCAATTCAAATTCAACTTAATTTTAATAATTATTTGGATGGTTTCGGCTCTCGTTTTTGAAACATGAGAATGCTTATGTAGCGAAGGAATCATATTCTTAAACAAAAATATTATAAATATATATATATATATATATATATATATATATATATATATAATATAATTATGTGTGTGCGTGTATGTGGTCAGATAGATAGATAGATAGATAGATAGATAGATAGATAGATAGAGAGAGATAAAGAGAGACTTTCATCTTCCTTTATAGTTCTGTATTTAAATCCAGATGTTTCGATTTCTCGCATTAATTCTCTCTCATCTCAAATATAACAAACAAATTTTAACTGACGGTTCTTAAGAAATGGCCAAAAGACATTTTTACTTGATATGCAGCAATTTGAGTTGGTTCTTGACAAAAGAAAAAAAAGCGAAATTGCTAGAAGGTGAGTTTAAATCGAACGAACTAGGTGCCTTGTTGCAAGCAATATCGATGGAATTTTCCATGTACTAAATGAAGATATCGACAGTAGTACCCACCTATAATATCAAAATTTTTTCCGTATTCTTCAGTTTCTTCCTTATATTTATTTATCTACAAATAAAATATTCTTTCTCTTGGTATTATTGTGTCCTATTTATTTTCTTATACCACTTTTTAAAATCTTCATCACGTTTGTCCAGTATTAGGCTAAAATTTTGAGCTTTCGAACAAATCATGTCGATGTCTACCATTTTGTTTACATAGCAAACCGAACTTGTCTATTTTTTAGTGATTTTATAACATATTTATGTTATAATTTTTAAATAAATATTTATATTCGCTCTACTCTGTATTGAGCACTCTTGTAAGAATAGTAATTGTTTGTGATTGGAATTTATTCCGTATACACCAATCATACTTGGGTATATATATATATATATATATATATATATATATATATATATATATATATATATGTGTGTGTGTGTGTGTGTGTGTGTGTGTGTGTGTGTGTATGACTGTATGCGTGTTATGAGTATTTTGAGTTTAGTATTGACTTCTTAATATTTATTAATAGAAAATGTATGAAAACTTGTTTTCTCTCTCATTTTATTATTTACGAATATATATATATATATCGTTTGTCTGACGATCGCTAAAGCGTGAAACCCAGGGTCACAAACTCACATCTATCCAACCAAATATGTTAGCTCTATCTCTGATATTGAGCGCTTTCTAATAAGTACCGCGCATATAATATATAAATAATTATACATATATATATATTTATTTATATTTATATTCACTTTTCACATATATATATATATATATATATATATGCACACAGGGTGCAATGGGTAAATTGTCGCCCTTTTATATTTTTCATTTCGCGCAAGTTCGTTGTTTATGATTTTGTTAACTGCCTAGTATAGTCGATTAGGCACCGTCTGTGAGAAAAAGATCTACATGACGCAACTCACTCCACTAAAGATTTGGGAGCGGCATGCTGTATTGTTTCGCATTCACATCGGAGGTTACAATACGAACATTTCACAATGTTTGGGTGTCAATATGAGGAGAGTGCAGTGGGTACAGAAAGAGTTGAATGCGTCTAATGTTGATTATGCAGGTGTTTGGACTGATCGTTAGTGATGGCGACGTTATGCCTTCATTCATCATTCCACAGTAAACCAGACTCAACAGGGATGCCCATACCAAGTGGTTTGAGGCAGTAGTGCTGCCCTGGGTCAAGAGAATGGCTGCTGGAAGAACCTTTGTATGGTAACAAGACTCTGAACCATGCGACACAAGCTGGTGAACCAATTCAAGACTGTCAGAATTTCTACAATCACTTTTCCCCTTGAATCTCGCCAACTCCCCAGACTGCACCCCCTTTCATTATTATGTGTGGGGTACAGTTGAGAGGCCAACAAACCTCCTTGTAACACCAAAGATGCACTTGAAGATAAGGATTATGGTAGCATTAACCAACATAAAGAAATAAACCGCCCAGAAAAGTTTGCAGTAAATTCCGAAGACGTCTGGTGACCGTGGTTGAAGCCAATGGCGATTTTATTGAATAAATTTACTCTTTAGTATTTCAAAGATATTTTTACGTAATTTTGGTAAATATACCTGTTAAAAAGATATGTCAGTATTATTTTAATTTTGTGTAAT